TGAATAATGTTTTTGTTTTAATTGTTAGGGATGTGATGCAGAACATATACTGTCAAATTGGGTAATAAGGGACAGTTTTGAGTATTTATTGTTAATAACTTCCTAGTGAAAATTTTTTTGCTGATCGAGGTAAATGTTATCAAAATTTTTTGTTGTTAATTGATTTTTTGGTTAACTGGAGCCTTTGCTAACTGAGGTTCTACTGTAAATGCATTTTTAGGGGTGTCCCTTATTACCCCTTCCTGCAGAAAAGGCCGGCATTTTTTTTAATGAGATGGGCAAATTCCATCAATTAAGTTTATAAGCTAGCACCTGTGTGCAACTTTTATGCAAGTAAAATTTTTTAGTACGGCAAGTATTTTTTTTTTTTTTTTGCTGCAGATCTTAATAGAGGTACTTTATCAAAATCTCCCTTTTCACAATTTTTTCAGTGATTTTTAGAGATGGTAAATTTATAATTTCTTAACTTGCTTTATGCATAATAGATACCTAGTAAAAATGTTGAATTTTACATCGCTATTTTTAGTTTTACAATATTTTGATTAGTTTAGCTGCTACAACACGTCTACGATATGTGGGACAACTGTCCCGATTTACCCTGCCTGTCCCTTATTACCTTGTTTGATGGTACTGTACAATGAAAATTTACAAGTCCACTTTTCTATAGTGTGCTCCTGAATAAATTCTTGCATCCAAAAGCTTTTTGTTGATATTCTTGTGGTCATGTTAGTGTCAGGCAGAATTTTTATTTCAAAGCAATTTCAATATAAATTTGAAGAAAAAAATTAAAACATCAGGAGCTTAATTGCATGATGAATAATGTTTTTGTTTCGTTAGGGATTTGACACAGAACATATGGCTTGACAGGTAAATTGGCAGTTTATGCTGCAACAATTCATGATTTAGACATTGGTGATGTAACTTTGACTGTCATCCAAAACCCAACTTGTATCCAGACTGGAATATTTGAAAAAAAATTTAAAACCTGCTATTGTAAAAATGATTTTCTCAGCTAGGTTATAAGAAATTTTTAGCATTCATTGTCAAAACTTCAAAGTGCTTGTTTAGTACCACATCTGATATGGCAGGGTTGAAAATTTTGATTTTTGGGAAAAAATTCTTGTACTTGTGAGATTTTCTTCATTATGAAAAAAATAATTTGCTTGTTCTGATTGTAGTGTTTCCATAGCAATAAATTCAATTTGAAAGTATAGTAGGAAACATTGTATCATTATGAATGTTAATTCCATGAGACAGGGAGTTATTGTGCATGGAGAAGATTCTGAATCTGATGATGAAGTTCTTGAATGTAATTTAAGTTCTCCTGTAACTCAAATAAAATCAAACGTTTCTATTGAGTCATCAAAGATCAGCTCACAAGAGAATATCTCGGGTAAGCTTCAGTTTAAATATATATATTAAAAAAAAAGTTAAACATGCTTCTTGCATTCTAAGTATTATTTAGTTTTACTTTATCTTCTTGGCTATTCAAAACAGCAGATTTTAGTCCTGACCTATTTTGAATAAATTTAATATTACCATTTTGCAGCTATATGTATTTTTTTCAGTTTAACCTAGACCTTGACTGAATAATTTTTAGTGGCAACTTTGAAGTTGATGTGTGATGGCACAAATTGAAACTTAGTCACTCTGTGTTGCATATACATTGTGAAGGTTGGCAACCACTGTCCATGATTGTTATACTCATTCACAACACTATGGATATGGTGTATGGCAACTATATGCATATGGTATGTATGGTATATGGCAACTATTTGCATATGGCATGTATGGTATATGACAACTATATGGTATGTATGGTGTATGGCAGCACTATGCATATGGTATGTATGGTATATGGCAGCTATTTGCATATGGCATGTATGGTATATGACAACTATATGGTATGTATGGTGTATGGCAGCACTATGCATATGGTATGTATGGTATGTGGCAACTAAATGCATATTTTATTTATGGTATATGACAACTATATTTGCATATTAATGTATGGTATATGGCAACTATATGCATATTTTTTGTATGGTATATGGCAACTATATGCATATATATACCTATATAATAGCAAGTTCAACTTTATGGTATATGGTATACTTTCTAGCCTGCAGATCTGATGCTTGCTTTGGAATCAAGCTGTCAAATTATTGATTTTATTTCAATATAATAGAAAACTTATCACGTTTTCTCTTAAGTTAGCTGAAAACTTTATGCTGTCAAGGTTTTAAATTCTGAAAATATATATGATAAATGAAAAAAAATAGATGTTTCAGAAAGGTGGCAGCTATTTTTTTTTATGTGAAACCTTGGATTGTGTCTATATAAGATTTATTCTGAACCAATCTGATTGTTTTAATTCTATTCCCATCAATTCACACTATGTGCTCAGACATTATGATGAGAGGAATTTGTTAGTTATAGGTACTAGTCTAGGTTAAATAGGCAGACTTGATTTAGATCAATTTTTCAAGTCCTATTTATGTCACCTGATATTTATATTTTAATTAGGGACCTCTTGATCCAGATGTAAGCATTTAGTTACTTTTTTCTAAGTCTGGTTATTTAGTTAATTAACTTACTGATTAATTTAATTAGTTAATTAGTTCACCCAAGTCTTGTGGGAATGTTGTGCAATGTGTTGTAAAAAATCCTTTCTAAATGTTTTATAATAATTATTCTTTCTCTCTGTAGTTAAGGTTTCAATGCATATGAGAGAGAGAAACTTGTAGTTAAAATGAGAAAATGTTCAGCATTATTCATAAAATTATAACTTATGACACCAACATAAATACCTACTTCTTTTTTTCTTGACCAGTCTACTTCTTTCTACATTCTAGTAATTAAACTAGTATTTTCTGATGTTCTTTTACCATTCTTGTTATTAAACTCATATTTTTTGATGTTCTTTCTATATTCTTGTTATTAAACTCATATTTTATGATCTTTCTACATTCATGTTATTAAACTCATATTTTATGATGTTCTTTCTATATTCTTGTTATTAAACTCATATTTTATGTGATGTTCTTTCAACATTCTTGTTATTAAACTCATATTTTCAGATGTTCTTTCTACATTCTAGTTATTAAACTCATATTTTTCTACTTTTTTCTAAATTCTAATCATTATACTCATATTTTATGATGTTCTTTCTACACTCTAGTAATTAAACTCCCATTTTATGAAACTCTTTTTATATTTTATCAAATAAGTTCCTATTTTCAGCAGTGAACAGAGCTACTCACTCGTCTCAGTCTCCTGGCATCCCTCGTCTTGCAAACCCTGCGCCATCGGCAACTAGAAACTTGACTTCACACAATTACCGCAGTTCTTCACTTCTACACCAAAAACTTGGTCAGTTTCATGCAGTTTACTGCTTGTTTCAAGCAGGTTTTATTTGTTTATTCAATATTGAATTTGTTTTATTCAATAAAACAAATTTTCTGGTCTTCGATGAAACCTGCTTGAAAGAAGAAATTCTGCCAAACTACACTAATATTTACTGCTTGTAAGCACATTTTATTTATTTCTAATGCTATGTATAACTTTTTTTCAAAACTGCCACTATGTTCTTTATGTTAGAATGATTACAATATTAGTACTATGTATTATTTAGCTCAGGTGTTGTATTTTTAGTGCATTTTCTCATTTATGGAAAAAATGCACTATTGTGCTTGCCATGTCCGTCTGTCTGTTCGTCCGTGACCTCAAGTTTTTGTCAACAAGAAAATGCGCTCTCTGTCACTCACTGCTGCAGTGAGTACTGAGTTATATTTTTCATTTATAATGCTGTATATGAGTTCTCTTTATATTGTCATGTAAGAGGTATATTGTCATCAATCAGGAAATATCCAGGGATGAATAGTATCAACATTGTCACCTGACAGTCACAATGTTTTTATATTTCAAAATGTTACATAAACACTATGAATTTATCTATTGAGGTTTGTAAGATCTGCTCTATATATAAGCGTGAAAATTTCTGTATTTCTACAGCTATTGTATTATGTGATAGTAGTGTTGTTGTTCAGCACTAAATTATATTTGTTAGAGTTCCTCCTGTTCACCAAAAAAAATCGTTGATATTTTAATTGATTTGAGGGCAATTGTCATAGCCATCCCTTTGCAGGTAAATGATGCATTTATAGCTTAAGGAATATTCAAATATTTGTAATTTCGATTTTGCTTAGAGTGAACAATATTAATCAATATACATTTAATGCCAATTTTTTCAAACATTGAGTTTCAGTATAGTTATCAAATTGCTCAACAATTTCTTATATTAAAATTAGGGTATCAAACAAGGCTGGTAATTGATGCCCATTTCTGCATACCTTTCCAGTATTCATATATTCTATTAATTATTAATTGTCAACTGCACTACTCATAAACTGTGCTCGGTTTTCCTCAATAACTCTTGCATTTGAAATGTAATCACATCAGGTGAATTATTCCTTAGAACTTCTTCCAACACAAAAAACTCTGGTCTGTTTAAATTTTTTTCGTACATTATTTTCTTTATAACTACTGGACCCAAAAAACTTTTTGGCTTGGTCGAAATTTTTCTTATGACAACTGAATAATTTGCTCTACTTTAATCAACTGTGTTTATTCAATAATTAGAAACGTTTCTTTATTGACGTTTCATTCAAATTTTGATTTGCAATCAATGGCACTGTGTACATTTAATTTTTTTTCTAAGTATATGCCTTTAGGTCAAGGACTACTACACACAGGACATGCATAGCCTATGTCCAGCCTCTGCTAGCAGAGGCGATCGCCTACACTATGAAAATGCTGGTGTTTTAGTGGCATCAACAAATGATATGCCCATAATTGTTTCATACAATAGTATTACAATGTGTGTAGTAGTCCTTGGTCAGAACCATAGACTTTTTGCCAGTTTTGAAGTTCAAAATTTTGTACTAAGCAAAGTAGGTACCATTTTCCTGCCTTCATACACTGATAAAAAAAATATTTAAATGGAGTNAACTTCGTCTAAAGCTCCCCAGTCCCCAACTTCGTCTAAAGCCTCCCAGTCCCCAACTTCAGCCAAAGCCATCCAGTCCCTAACTTCAGCCAAAGCCATCCAGTCCCCAACTTCAGCCAAAGCCATCCAGTCCCCAACTTCAGCCAAAGCCATCCAGTCCCTAACTTCAGCCAAAGCCATCCAGTCTACAACTTCAGCCAAAGTCCCCCATTCCTCAACTTCAGCCAAAGCCATCCAGTCCCTAACTTCAGCCAAAGCCATCCAGTCCCCAACTTCAGCCAAAGTATTCCAGCCCCCAACCATAGACAAAGCCATCCAGCCCCCAACTTCAGCCAAAGTCCCCCTAACTCCCGCCCCCCACCACGAGCAAGTCCCCCTCTGCGTAACACGTCCACAGTACCGTCAAGGCCGCAAGTTAACAGCCGTTAAAGTCTACACCGTGGCCGATGAATCTAATTATCTTCTAATTAAAGGTGTGCCGAGCGTCTCATTAACGAGGGAACTCAAAAATTTGTGCCTCAAACGAGGTCAGTTAATGGAACTCAGAACTCTAACTGAGTATCCTAGAGAACCTTTCACGGACGCTTTCCTTGTTAAATATCAAAATTTGAGAGCAGCTCGACTAGCTAAAAAATTTCTAGATGGTAGGAATTTTTTCGGTGGATTATTGCACGTTTGTTATGCACCAGAGCTGGAAAGTGTGGATGAAACAAGGATAAAGTTAATGGAGAGATGGACAAACGTTGAAAAAGCTTTAAGAGAAAATGAACAGAATCCTGGTGGTTCTATCCTAGCAGAATATCATCCTGATGATAAACTTAGTGCTTCCGTGAGAAGAATCTCGCAGCGTTTGGGGTATAAAAACCATGAAGATGAATCCAATTATTTACATCCCTCGCAAATGAATACTAGTTATTCAGTTGCTAATTTAAATGTTGAAATTTATAATCAAGAAGTTACAAAAGGTTGTGGGATGAATGTACAAAATAAAATAACTCATGATGAGAAGAGTGCAATTCAAACTGTAGTTACTCATAACTCCGAAGAAATAACTCACAATCATCACGATTCTGCAAGATATTCATCAGAATCCAACACAAGTCAATATTCACGTGAAGAAATACCATCATCTTTCAATGTGTGTAATTCATACGCAAGTACGAGCTCTGACTACGAGCCTGACTTGGGATCGGTATCACGAATTCAGTATCGTTATTCAACAGAACAAAGGATACACCGAAGAAAAAGCAAAGGATGGACTGAAATATCAAATGAAATTAAGGGACGAAAACGCAAAATTGAAGTCAAGTCGAGGTTTGTGGATGTGCAAAGTACTAAGGTTCAGAAATTTAGTGTGGGATCGAACTCTGAAGCTGTACAAGATTGTAGTTATTCTGGTCCCGGTTGTAGATTTTCAGAACGCAAATCTACTATCAATACAAATTCGGTAGTAGAATTTCGGAAAAGCGATGTAAATAATGTCGCTCCATCGAACAATTTCTTCTCTTTGGACATAAAATCAAATACCAGCGGGAGCCAAAATCCGCAAACTGTTTCACTTCAACCAAATTCAATCGCTCAACCGCAACGTCCACGTTATGAAAACAATTTAAAATCAACCACAAACTCAACCGCNACCTGTTCCTAACTGGACCTAACCTGCGAGGTTTTCGTTGATTGGCTAGGTTTTTTCTATGTTTGGAGGCCGTCCGGCTGCCGGAAAAACCTAGCCAATCAACGAAAACCTCGCAGGTTAGGTTCAGCTGGGAACAGGTTCCATTAAAAATTTCCGATGCCGACCGCCAAATACGGATTTCAGATTCTTAATTTACAGCCCAGAAACATATACTTAAAAAACACCCTTTTTTCTGATGCACTTAATCTAAAGTATTACCGAAAATTACTGACGATTTTCTGTTGTGGTTCAACTTTGCATTGTCGTACATGACGATTGTGTTGAGTACCTACTTGAGTTGTGATAAATCCTGACGATTGTCTGTTGTTGAAATTTGTATTGTCGTATCTGGCTATCGTGTTGTTTTTCTGATAATTGCAGACGATACTCTGTTAGAGTTAAATTTTTTTCGTCATTTTGTTGACATGAGAGGAAGACTTGAATTTTCGTTGTTGTGTAAAACCTTACTCATCGTGAATAAGGATTGCTTGTGTTTAAGAACCAGAAACTGGTCCTTACTAATTGTCCTCTTTCTTTTATTTCCAAAACGGAAGTTAATATTTTATGATATAAATAATATTATTTATACGAATGTATTGATTTATTCGTTTAGTTGTTATGAGTGGTCTTGAATGCTATTTCTTGTACAACGACCCTTTCCACCCACCAACCACCACCACCACACACCCCCTTCCACCCACCACTACCACCACCACCACCACACACCCCCTTCATCCCACCACCACCATCATACCTGTCTCTTATACACATCTAGATGTGTATAAGAGACAGGTANTCATTATGGAGCGAGGTTCTATATATATTCAGATAAATAATTGGATCTTTGTCCAAAAAGCAATGCACTTCCGTAACTTGAAGGGAACGGTCAAGTTTAGATGAATTATTTTTTATAGAACTAATGTCGAACGATCAGTGAGTGGAAAAGATTATTAATATCAACCTGATTACATGAACCGAACTTGTTTATGCATTTATCTATAAAAATGTCATTCAGGCAAACGTTTTGATATAATTAATGGCATACATTAAGTAAATATGAACCAAATAATATCTACCAATATCCATCTCAATAATAAATAATATAATCAAGTGATTGTATGATTGTATTACATACTTCAATCTTTTAGTCGTCGCAATTTATTGTGAAAGCCTGAAAGTTCGACTATTGCATTTACAAACAGTAATAAAGATAAAATATAAATTGAAATGGCACATATTAGGACACACTTATACTCGAGTTCCGATACACACAATCTTATATGCAGAAATTCGGTAGAGATTTTATGCAAAAATTCGCAGAGATTTTTTTTAGAAATTCAGCAGAGATTTTATGCAGAGAAATTCAGCAGAGATTTCATGCAGAAATTCAGCAGAGATTTCATGCAGAAATTCAGCAGAGATTTTATGCAGAAATTCAGTAGAAATTTTATGCAGAGAAATTCAGCAGAGATTATTTGCAGAAATTCAGCAGAGATTTTANTGCAGAGAAATTCAGCAGAGATTTCATGCAGAGAAATTCAGCAGAGATTTCATGCAGAGAAATTCAGCAGAGATTTTATGCAGAGAAATTCAGCAGAGATTTCATGCAGAGAAATTCAGCAGAGATTTCATGCAGAGAAATTCAGCAGAGATTTTTTGCAGAAATTCAGCAGAGATTATTTGCAGAAAATATGCAGAGATTTTCGCGTGGCCTGGGGCTGTTTATTAAATTAAACTAAATTTCAAAAAAGAAACTGATCAAAGTGGATGAAAATCACAATACCAGGCAATTCTAAGTTTAAATTAACAGAGATTAATGGTGAGCGTTAACTCTACCTGGGAAAATATGCTTTATAAAACTGTTCTTTCAAAAATGGTGTCAAAAATGGTGTCAAAATGGTGTCAAAAATGGTCATCATGGTGTCAAAAATGGTGTCAAAATGGTGTCTAGTCAATAATGGTATTTGTGGTGAGGGGATAAGATGAAAAATAATTTCCATTGTATTACAGAGACGTAAATATTGTAAAGAGTTCTAGGTATTATAATGAAAAGTCATAAATATTGTAAGGAGTTCTAAAGTATTACAAAAAATTATAAAAACTTCGAAGTATTCTAAGTATTACAAAAGTTCTAAAGGGTTCAAAGTATTAAAGAATTCCAATTATTATGAAGAGTTCCAAATGTAATAAAAAATCTAATTAACGCAATACTAATTGGAAGACAATAGATAGATTATCTGTGATGCAGCAATAGGCGTTTAGAATACTAGTTAAGATTGCATACTTAAATAGTTTGATTATAATTTATCCTGATATGATTAGTGGCACATAAATGATGGTATAAAAGTAAGAAAATATCAAGAACGATTGTACAATATTGGATAGTGATATAAATATAAGAAAATATTGGAGTTCTAAACTATGAGCCTTAATCAGTCATGGTTATGATAAATAACACAGGCTAAACAAAATATACATACACGAGACTATTTACACGTACTCAAACGGACACAATATTATGCTAAAAAACATACTATGTAAAGAAAAAATCATTATCTAAAAACAGTCAAACTTGTTTTTGGTAAACTGATTAACCCAACATAAGCTTTCACAAAACTCAAAAGTCTTCTTATATGCGTAAATAAATACAATATTCAATGTCTTTGCAATATCTTGACTTAATATACTTTATCTTCAATGCACGTGATTATCTTAAAGATAAACATGTACTGAATTAAGCAGCAGGCGTAAGGTGCAATAAAAAAGTATAAAAAATACAAATATATATATATTAAAGACCAAAGAATTTGTTTTATTGACAATTTTCTTATTAGTTTTAGTACACAAATATTGAAAAATGTTGTTGTGAACAGAGCTACTCACTCGTCTCAGTCTCCCGGCATCCCTCGTCTTGCGAACCCTGCGCCATCGGCAACTAGAAACTTGACTTCACACAATTACCGCAGTTCTTCACTTCTACACCAAAAACTTGGTCAGTTTCATGCAGTTTACTGCTTGTTTCAAGCAGGTTTTATTTGTTTATTCAATATTGAATTTGTTTTATTCAATAAAACAAATTTTCTGGTCTTCGATGAAACCTGCTTGAAAGAAGAAATTCTGCCAACCTATAATAATTTACTGCTTGTAAGCACATTTTATTTATTTCTAATGCTATGTATAACTTTTTTTCAAAACTGCCACTATGTTCTTTATGTTAGAATGATTACAATATTAGTACTATGTATTATTTAGCTCAGGTGTTGTATTTTTAGTGCATTTTCTCATTTATGGAAAAAATGCACTATTGTGCTTGCCATGTCCGTCTGTCTGTTCGTCCGTGACCTCAAGTTTTTGTCAACAAGAAAATGCGCTCTCTGTCACTCACTGCTGCAGTGAGTACTGAGTTATATTTTTCATTTATAATGCTGTATATGAGTTCTCTTTATATTGTCATGTAAGAGGTATATTGTCATCAATCAGGAAATATCCAGGGATGAATAGTATCAACATTGTCACCTGACAGTCACAATGTTTTTATATTTCAAAATGTTACAATATTTATTTTTTAAATGATCTTGGATGATGACAAGTTTATTGAGAAAAAAAAGAGTGAAGTGAATAACTTCTCAAAGTTATTTTAATAATACCTTAAAATGGGGTGACTTGGACCAATTTGACAGTTAAGAAAAGATAGCGCTTTAACTCAAAAAGTTTTTGCCTTATAAAAATTGTGCTGCTGCTGGCTATTGAAGTAGGTACCATGAGATAACCAACAGCTGCAATAAAAATATATTTTATATATTTACTATGCAACTGTTTGTATCACAAAAAGGTAAGCTATAAAATGGTCCAAGTCACCCCATTTTACAGTAGTTGATAGTAGTAATACCAAAATTTTCACCTTTGATGCTAGGATGTCTTGACATTTGGATCTAAATAAAGTAATACTGATTAGTTAGCTTAGAAAAATGCCATGTCTCCAACATATCAATATCATACAATAAATTTTCTCAATTTTTTACTAGAATTTTTTTTTACACTTCTTATACAATGTCTAGAACTGGTTAAAAATTGATTATTTCTCATTCTTGAACACCTTAATTTTAAAATCAAACTGCCACCCATAATAATTTTCAGTGTATCCTTAAGTATAAAATTTGTATTTAAATAATTTATTAATTAGTTAATTAAACACAGATGAAAGCAAGAGGAAGCTGCAGCAGAAAATAATATCAACATATCAACTTCCCTATGAGCGACACGAGGAGTCTCTGCGTCGGGTTCAACAAAACGCTTGTCGACAATCCATTGAACGGAGCAATCGCTCCTTGGAGCTGACGTGTGATCAACTCCAAGTCTTGGACCAACTCATGTCTGAACTGCCTTCAAATTCTTTAATGTGTCTCAAGTGAAAACAATGTAAAAAACTATATCATGGCTTAATCACAATATTTTTATACAAAAACACTATGAATTTATCCATTGAGGTTTGTAAGAACTGCTCTATTTATAAGTGTAAAAATTTCTGTATTTATACTGCTATTGCATTATGTGATACAGTATTTGAAAATAGAAAAGAATGTAAAAAGTATATCATGACATAATCAAATATTTTTATATGAAAACACTATGAATTTATCTATTGAGGTTTGTAAGATCTGCTCTATATATAAGCGTGAAAATTTCTGTATTTCTACAGCTATTGTATTATGTGATACGTAGTAGTGTTGTTCTTTACCCAATTATATTTGTTAGAGTTTCTTCTGTTTACCAAAAAAGTTATTGGTATTTTAATTGATTTGAGGCTAATCGTCATAACCATCCCTCTGCATGTAAATAATTTATTTAAAACTCAAGCTATATCCATAGATTTTTATTCGTGATTTTGCTTGAAGTGAACAATTTTAATTGATATTAATTTAATGCCAATTTTTTTCAAACACGGAGTTTCAGTATTAATTTTTCTCAGTGCATTTGTAGAAATGTTTGGCTAAATACCTACTAAAGTTCAGTCTGTTATTAAATTGATCAACAATTTCTTATATTAAAATCATGGTGTTAAACGAAGCTGGTATGTAGTTTTTCAGTATTCATATGTCTTATTAATTATTAATTGTCAACTGAACTACTCTTAAAGTGTGCTTGGTTTTCCTCAATAACTCTTTATTTGCAATGTAATCGCATTATTCCTTCCTTACGAGACCCCAAAAACTCTTTGGACTGGTCGAATTTTTTTGTAGCTTATTTTTTTATGACACCTGGACTCAAAAAATTTTTTGGGTGGTCAAATTTTTTTGGTACAATATTTTTGTGTGAAATTTTTTTTTCATTGACAACTGAATAATTTGCTGTACTTTAATCAACTATAGTTCTTCAATAATTAGAAACGGTTCTTTATTGACATTTTTTCAGATTTTGATTTGCAATTAATGGTACTGTGTACATGTAATTTATTTTTATTTTCTAAGTATATGCCTTTAGGTATAAAAAATTCCTTTGGCATCAGCATCACAATTTAAAATTGTTTCACATCACTTTAACTCATCTTGAATAATTATTGCTTTTGTTTTTTAGGTTCTAAACTCGCTTTTAAGCAGTGAAATTTAGGAATAATGGCGAAATTTCAGAATCATCATAGTATGTAATTATTTCAAGCAACGAAATTTCATAATCATAGCGGGGTAAAAACCCATTATGTAATCATTTTCTCATGTTATATTCACAAACTTTCCAGCTATCAAGAGACAGTTCTGGATCTGCTGGAACAATGGTTTCTCGGTCAACCCATGAAGAATCGAATACGATTTCAGAAACCGAGATTTCTCCACGTAGCCTTCCAGGAAATCCTTGCTCCAGCTCAACGTCCTCAATTTCAGCTAGAACGCAATTTCATCCGCCCTCAAATTCATCTAAAGTCCCTTTAACTCCCGCCAAACAGTCCTCAACTTCAGCCAAAGCCATCCAGTCCTCAACTTCAACCAAAGCCATCCAGTCCTCAACTTCAGCCAAAGCCATCCAGTCCTCAGCTTCAGCCAAAGTCATCCAGTCCTCAACTTCAGTCAAAGCTCCCCAGTCCCCAACTTCGTCTAAAGCTCCCCAGTCCCCAACTTCGTCTAAAGCCTCCCAGCCCCCAACTTCAGCCAAAGCCATCCAGTCCCTAACTTCAGCCAAAGCCATCCAGTCCCCAACTTCAGCCAAAGCCATCCAGTCCCCAACTTCAGCCNCGCGGATTTTTTGTCGAGCGTCCGCGCGGCGGCGGCGGCGTCCTTTGGGGCGGCGAGGGGAGCGCGAGTGAGGGAAGCTCCGGCGAGGGAAGTGCCGAGGATGCTTATTGCCGAGGGTGCTAGGTTATTGTGATGATTTCTTACTATTTTCTGTTGCGGTTGAATTTTTGTTGTCGTTATTGCCGAGGGTGCTAGGTTATTGTGATGATTGCTGACGATTTTCTGTTGTGGTTGAATTTTTGTTGTCGTTATTGCCGAGGGTGCTAGGTTATTGTGATGATTGCTGACGATTTTCTGTTGTGGTTAAACTTTTTGTTGTATATGGCGATTGTATTGAATTTTTCTGATGATTATTGACGATTTTCTGTTGTGGTTGAATTTTTTGTTGTCGTTATTGCCGATGGTGTTAGGTTATTGTGATGATTCCTGACGATTTTCTGTTGTGGTTCAACTTTTTATTGTCGTATAATATGGCCACTGTGTTGAATTCTGATAATTGAAGACTATTTTCTGTTGTGGTTGAATTTTTTGTTGTCGTATTTGGCGATTTTGTTAAGTTGCTTGAAAATTCATGGCGATTTTCTGTTGTGGTTCAACTTTTTGTTGTATATGGCGATTGTGTTGAATTTTTTCTGATGATTCCTGACGATTTTCTGTTGTGGTTGAATTTTTTGTTGTCGTTATTGCCGAGGGTGTTAGGTTATTGTGATAATTCCTGTTTTTTTTTGTGGTTTAACTTTATATTGTCGAATATGGCGATTGCATGTGTTGAATTGTGATGATAATTGCAGACTATTTTCTGTTGTGGTTGAACTTTTTTGTTGTATATGGCGATTGTGTTAAGTTGCTTGAAAATTCATGGCGATTTTCTGTTGTGGTTCAACTTTTTGTTGTATATGGCGATTGTGTTGAATTTTTCTGATGATTCTTGACGATTTTCTGTTGTGGTTCAACTTTGTATTGTCGTACATGACGATTGTGTTGAGTACTTGAGTTGTGATAAATCCTGACGATTTTCTGTTGTGGTTCAACTTTGTATTGTCGTACATGACGATTGTGTTGTTTTTCTGATCATTGCTGACGATACTCTCTTACAGTTAAATTTTTTTCGTCATTTTGTTGACATGAGAGGAAGACTTGAATTTT